TATTTGGTAGAGTTTTACTTGAAAATACTGACGACCTGGAGGTCTGTTCCGCGAAAAATTCCAAGATAAATTTATAGCTTTGTAAAAATTTTACAAAAACTTTTTTCAGCTTTGAATTCGGGACAAAAGTGAAAATAAATTCCTTCCGTTTTGCCCGAAAACCAGTAAGGTTTTCTCCAAAACCGATCACAAAACTAAAAGTTTTTAATCGAAAACGCAAAAAAACAATTATTTTCTGATGATTTTCTTCTTTTCTGACAATAATCGGGTATTTTTAGTCAAAAATTAAAAAATTGATTTTGCTACGAAATTCACCGCATTCATCGGTTTGCAGGGAACTGTAGAAAACCCATTTTAGCTTCGAATGTGTCACAAAAACCAAATAATTTTATTCAGTTTTTTAACGAAAGCGCAAAAGTTTACAAAAAATTATTATTGAAAATTCGCCGCCCTTATCGTTCTGAAGATTTTTAAAGTTCCTTTAAATTTTCAGGTCATTCCAGTTTTGAAAAGGTTTCTATTATGCAATTCTTTCTAAGCAAAAATCGCATTCTCTTTTAGTTTTACTTAAAATACTGGCAATCTTCAGGTAGTTTCTGTGAAAAATTATAAGATACGTTTTGGTTCAACTGGTTCAGAACCCGTTTGTTACCGGTTATAGCAGTTCTAGGACTAAAGGAAGGAACAGTCGTTCTGACAAGCGCACCACAAAGAAAACATAGTGTTGGCATCAGCATAATTATATGGCCACTTACGCCGACTAAACGATTAAAATAAGACGTAGTATCGTTTCTGCTATGATCAGCATGATTTAAGTATAAAAGTAGCCAGGTCAGAAACGATAATTCAGTTAAAGACTGCCTATGGTCAGGTCTGTTTAAGTTAAAGTTAAAGACAGTCTATGGTCAGGTCTATTTAATCTCAGTTAAAGTTAAAGTTCATAGACAGCCTGTGGTTAGGTCCGATTCGGTCACACACATTTCAAATCCACATAATATAGAGTATTGTATTAATTTTGAAATAAAGTGTTTTTTTAAAAACGTGAGTCTCAAATTAATCAATAAAATTGCATTGAGACTAGTTCCCGGCATCATTATTTTTTTGATTTGTTAGGAGAGACTGGACACTTTTGTTTGCGGGCGACTTTTGTTCGGCTGGTGGTACAATGGGTGCACCAGCATTGCATTCCTTTTCCTAACTCAAATTTATGGCTTTATTTGTCTATTTAGCCTGAGAGTTAAAATGTTAGAGGCTGTCCTTTGAATTCATCAAAATTAGTTAATTAAATGCAATATAAACGAAAAAAAACTTAATAATTATATATTATTCGAATTAATCTAAAACTGCCACTTTTCACCACAGATCATAAGGAAACACATCAAATCGTTTTTCAAACTTCTCACAAATTTCACCCGCGACCTGACAAAGTCGAAACGCCGTCGTCTTTTAAAGAAACAAAAACTAAACTTGCACCTAAAACTAGTTTTTTTTTATTATTTAATTTTGAACTATCGCTCCATTGGTTAAGCTTAAATCAGGCCAGTGGCGGCCTCAGTTTTATTTTCCGCTTGGGCGAAAGCCGGTGGAAAAATTTTGAAGATGCGCAGGAGATATTTATACCTAATTTTAATTGTAAGAGTTGGATATAATATATTTGTTTTACAAAA